TTCCAGCCTAGGCCATTCTATGATTCTCTGAGTCTATGATCAGGCTGCTTTTTTTAAATAAAAAAAAACCTACTCTGCTGCAACTGCTTTCTTCACTAAGTAAATGAAATCATAATTATCTCAAGGGATCAGCTGGGAAACTAGGTAACAAAGGAGTCCATGTAATTGCCTTTATAAAACAGAAGCATACATGACATTTCTGGCTGGGAAAAGATTACGAACACAGACTGTGTTTCTATTCATTGTATTTGTCACACTGCAGTAACAAATACAGCCATCCAACACATTTTAATAAGTTACTCTACAACACTTGCCACAAGAAACAGAGGTCACATTTTCTCTAATTTTCATACTGAAGTATTTCTACCTTAAAAAATATTAAAATTGTCAGGTTGTTACAGTCATTGATTCATTCATCCCTGAGACTATTGCAAAAGCTGATGGAGGAAGCTGTTAGGAAACCCAGAGGAAATAGGCGACTTCATCCAGGTCAACAGGATAGTCCGTGAGCAGCACCGGCGTCTTCTCAAACAACTCCCCCTTGTAGCTGCGCCACTTGCCCGCGGGCAGGTAGACGTCACGCTCCTGCTTGCCCATCTCCAGGACAGGTGCCACCATGAGGGTGTCCCCAATGAGGAACTGGGAGTCGATCCTGTGAGCGGCCTCGTCACGGGGTGAAATCCACCAGATGGGTCGGATGATGGGGTCGCCCGTGTCAGTGACCTCCCCCGCCAGCTCCAGCAGCAGTGGGGCCACCAGCGACTCGTGGAGCTCCGTGAACTTCTGCGCAATCTCCACCACCTCCTTGTCATAGAGCCAGGGTGGGATGGAGAACTGCATGGAGGGCATGAAGGCCGACAGCTCCAGCCACCGCACATACAGCTCCCAGTCGGGGATCTCCACTGCCCCATCTGTCTTATTGGGGAGGAAGTTTCCCCCAATCATATCTGGAAGTACAAATGGGTACCCAAGCATGCTGATGGTGAGGACTGTGGGGATGAGGGATTTGAGGCCAAGCTCATAGCCCCAGATGGAGTCACGGTCAATGATACGGAAGAAGCAGGAGATGTTCTGGGACTGGTAGCCCACTCGCACCTCAGCCAGCTCGTAGAGGGGGATGGCCATCTCTGTGTAGCGCCGCGACCAGATGCTGGGGTCTGAGAGTGGGCGGAAGGTGCTGAACTGCTTGGGCAGGTAGCTGGTCTCGCCTGCATCGAACTTGAAGGACGAGATGCCGTACTTGTGTCGCAGCTGGCTCAAGTGGCTCTGGAACCAGTCGCGGGTTGCTGGATTGGTAAAGTCCAGGATGGCCCCGATGCCGTTCCACCACTCCACCATGGCTGGGAGACGCCCCGACGGCTCCTTGATGAACAGTTGATGCTCAATCCCCACCCCAAAATTGGGGGAATCTCTGTGTATAAAGGGGTGAATCCACAGGGTGATCTTAAACCCATCTTCCCTCAGTTTTGCAAACATCTCTGTCACATTGGGGAACTTGACAGGGTCAAAGTCAAAGTCTCCATAAGTTTGAGTGTACATGTCATCAATTTCAATGTGGCTGCAGTTAAAACGGTACTTCTTGATATTTTTTGCAAAATGCAGAACTTTATCCTGACTGATATCTTTTTTGTAGAGCGCCCAGGTGGACCAGATGGGGTATCGGAAGGCGTTCTCCGCGGGGATCTTGGAGGGCTTGTTGAAGTACCTGCGCACCATGTACTTGTGGATGGAGGGGACGTCGGAGCCCACGCAGACCCGGTAGCTGAGCTCTGCGGGGAAGGGCTGCGGCCCCGGCGGGGGCTTGTAGGGTGAATCTCTGTAGCGGGCCTGGAAGAAGAGGGCACGCTCGGTGGCGTTGAAGCCCAGGTGGAAGGGCACGGAGTCGTTGATCTTGATGGCCGCTGCCTTGGAGGAGAGCCAGTAGCGCTCGAGGATGCCGCCGAAGCTGTCGCGGAAGGAGTAGACATCGCTCGTCACGTAGGGCACGGGCTCCTGGTAGCCGGCCAGGTGGATGGGCCAGTGCTGGGTGCTCATCTCTGAGCCCCCGTACCAGTGGGCGTCCTCCCAGAACATGGTGTGCTCCACC